AACTCTCCGGCGGCAGCCATTTTTTTTGTCACCCATTGGTGCTTTGGTCACATGGTTCATTACGTTACTGTTGATCATCTGTCCATCATCGTATAAAGCCCGCCCTGACAATTTGATTGGATCGCCAGAGGGTGGGCGATCATACTCGCGCTACTATGGAGCAAAGCCAGACCAAACCTCCCGACCTCAAACCTTGTGGGCGGGACTAAGTTCGGAATGGCACCCAGGCTAGGGAGGACCCCCCTGAAAAAGCAAAGAGTTCCTGAAGTCTTTCCTTTTTTATCTAATAGCCAGTCAGCAAGTGTCCCCCACAGCCCCCGTCTGCATCTTGGCCTCATCAGACAGCCTACAGCATTGCTATATAAGGTGAGGCTGCAGACTCTCTGGCCAACATATGTCAGCATTAGAATGTCCATGTTGGCTGATCCACACAGAAGAGTGAACAGATATAGAAATGAACAGATGTAACAGTTATTTCAAACAGAAAATGAAAGACCTCCGCTTTATTAAATTAAAGCAGAGGTCTTCACTTAAAGCGCGACCCCTAGGGGGTCCACAGAGGGAGGGGTCCACTGCAATTTTTTCCACTAATTGAAATGTCATACACATTAACATGAATTCAACACACTGTAGTAAACAGATAAATGGAGGCAGAAGATGTCTTTCAGTCATCAATGCACACATTCAGCAACAAACAGGAGCTATTTTAAGCTGGCCAGCGTTGCATTCACAACACCTGTCCCATCAACCAGGAATCAGAATCAGAAATACTTTAATAATCTCAGGGAGAAATTACTTCCGAAACATGACACCATCTGTAATAGAGCGACTGTAGGAACAGTTTGATATAACACTATTTCATACTGTATTTATAATAAAAGCAGCCCCAAGAAAAAAATAGATATGAATACTTTTTTATCCAAGTTAATATTCTTGAGCATATGGTTGCGATATTATCCACACAACACACAATCAGTTCAAATACAATGTTAATTGCATATTTAAAAATATGTTTAAATGCATACATATATACCATATAGATAGTGCTCTTCTATTAATGCTTTTAAGAAAACTTTATTTACTACTTATTACTTATTTTGAAATTTTTTTAAGTATTTTAGGTGTCAAAATATGTGGTGCACTGCCAACCTAAACTACAATGTTGTAATGTTAATTTCAACCTGGATGGACGGACGAATAGATGGAAAGAAATAATTGAAATTGCTTTAACTCTAGGGATGTTGGCAATATGTATTGGCTGTTATTAGTAATTTTTTATGAATCAAAGTTTTTTAGCCTTTTATCAATGTGGACTAAAAGGCATCTGAGTAACTATAAATATAAATATCAGTGTATTTTGGTGCTCTTTTGCTAATCACTAATCATAATCACTAAATAGTGCCCAATATTGTGATTAGGGGGACATTTGGACATAGCCCAAGTCTGTCTCCAAACATCCACCCTACTGTAACCTCTCAATCATAATCAGCAGGTACTATATAGTGGGCTTTATAGTGAACTCACTGACCATTCAGATGGATTATCGGTACATTTGGCTCCCCTTTGGTAATGTGACTTCGGCTCTCTGAATGGTGCCTGTGCCATCTTTGAACTTTTTTGCCCACAATCCCATGATTCCTTGTGAGGAGAGGTCTTTGCAAAGCATTCAGGGATATATCTGCTTGTCTAGTGACCATGGTTGCACACTACTTTTCAAGGTACATTACAAGAAATTTTGAGTCCACCGCTTTTTCATTCACTAGACATTTAGACACACATAAAATGGTGCAGCAACTATATAGTGCTCTATATAGGGGTTAGGGCGGAAGTTCGGTTACAGCTCATGTTTACTTTAACAGCAGCGCAACTAGAAACAACAACAGTTGTTTCTCCCATTCAACATGCTCACATGTTCTTTTTAACGTAATAACAGTCTACACACATCAAATTCCCCCCTTATTCATAACTCCTAGATTCCACATCCTCCATTACTGCTCTGCTCTGCCCTTCTCACATATGCCTGGCAGAGCATTTGTCCAGTTATGTTAATCAATGAGAATTTTTAACCATCCACTGTCACTCCTTACAATGTTTGCTTCTCTCCAGTCCATTGGAAGCCATCCAGGTCAAGATCTGCAATTGAAATCGTATCAAACAGGAAAAAGACCATCAACAAGATCATCAACAAGTTTGTCAAAGTGAAATAGGGTAGCTAGAGATCACTACTAACAGACCTTTTTCACGAGACCCAGAAATATTCCGCTGTTGACAACATTCACTTCCGTTGGGTACCACTTAGCATTGGACCTTAATGAAAATGGCTCAGTCTAAAAGCAACCTTGCTCTGTCCCTGGTTGCTCCTCTTAGGCAAGAAAGTAACCATATCTTTCTTCTATTGCCTTTCTGAAGGACCTGGTGCAAGAGAAGCAGTGGGTGCAGGCAGTGAGGTGAGTCAGATCTGGCTCAACTGCTGCGTTTTAGCTAATTATCTAGGCCAGCTTCGTTTTGAAGAGTTAATTAATCATGTATTATATCAAGTAAATAGTTCAAAATAGTTGTGATTTTTTTACCTGAATGTATTTTTGTTGTACAGTGGAATCTGCTTATAATGCTCAAAAATATAGTAATCAACCGCTTATAATGTTCAAAAGGCTTGAGACAGAATCATTTCTATACAAATGCTGTTCAAATAATTTGTTTATAGTAATGAAGAAATCTGCTTATAGTGTTCATTTTTGGCCATTTTATGAATGTAAACATGTGCAAAAATAATTAATAAGTGGTACTTTATTAACGTTATTAACATTACACTGAAGAAATTCACCTCAATTTGACCCATCCCCTTGGCGAGCAGTGGGCTGCCATTATGCGGCACCTGGGGAGCAGTGTGGGGGTTAATGGTTAAGTTACCTTGAAATTTCTCGTGATTTGCCTGTATTTTATTTTATTTTTTAACAGTGTCCTGTCTGGCAATCTGGCAATAAGAATAATTGTCTTGATGCAA